ATTGTTTATAGAAGTTCAAAATTTTGTTGGGATGCTTAAATGCTGAAAAGTACAAAGTTTGTGTATCTACTAAGTTTTCTTGTGTTCGTTAAAGAGTTGGACTACAAATATTTCTCCTTTGAGGTTCCCTATGGAGAAAAGCCAAATAGTGTTCTTGATTTACTCCTATTCCTACTATTGAAGATTTAATGGAGGAAAATCTTTCAGTAATTGATGTTGTTTCCTATTATTGAAGATTTGGTGTTACTAGAGGAATCAGTGGAGAAAAATCCTCCTTGTTTCCTATTTTCTAATTCTTTCCATTATCATAATTTATTCTCCTATATAAAGGAGCCTCTACCATTGTATTGTATATGAATTGAGAGAGTATTATAAAAGTGATGTAGCCCTCTAGGCTCTTTGTGTCATGGATGTAGACCCTAGTGGCTGAACTACGTAATATCTATGTGTTCTACTTGTTTTATATATCTCTTCACTTCCGTTTTATGGTTTACAACATGGTGTCAGAGCCTAATTTCTCTTCCTAGATTCAGACCCCTATGTTGGGGTATTCCCCCTTAGCATCTGAAATGTTGCTAAAGGATTTTTTGGTGCTATTTGTGACTTGTTTGGGATGTCGGTTTGTTCGACAGTAATGTTTTTTGCCTTTGTCGTGTCTCCGGCAGTTTTTATTGACTGGTTTAGGCTGCCGGTGTGTTCGGTAGCATTATCTTCGTCTTTGTCGTGTCTCCGGGAGTTTTTATCAACTTGTTTGGGCTATTGGTGTGTTCGGTAGCATTGTCCTCGCCTTTGCCGTGTCTCCGGCAGTTTTTTGTTGACTTGTTTGGGCTGTCGGTGTGTTCGATAGCATTGTTCTTCGTCTTCTCTCTTCATCATTCACACTTGTTGTTACTCGTCATCTCAATGGTAAGTTGGTCATTCATGCTCCAACTTGAGGGGGAGTATTGAAGATTTAATGGAGGAATCTGTGGAGGAAAATCTTTCAGTAATTGATGTTGTTTCCTATTATTGAAGATTTGGTGTTACTAGAGGAATCAGTGTAGAAAAATCCTCCTTGTTTCCTATTTTCTACTTCTTTCCTTATCATAATTTATTCTCCTATATAAAGGAGCTTCCACCATTGTATTGTATATGAATTGAGAGAGTATTATAAAAGTGATGTAGCCCTTTGGGCTCTTTGTGCCGTGGATGTAGGCCCTAGTGGCTGAACTACGTAATATCTGTGTGTTCTACTCGTTTTATATATCTCTTCACTTCCGTTTTATGGTTTACAACACCTACATCTAAGAAGGTTAATTTGAAGGTGAAGAGCTGGCTGAATTTCTTGAAATTCATAAGAATGCGAAGCTACAAAGAGCAACGAGTGTCAAATATAAGGCTGCAACTGAATCTCACAAAAGAAAGGTAATTTTAGATATTGGAGAGTATGTTCAGGCTATTCTTACAAAATATCGACTTCCAACCGGGGCATACAGGTTGGGAGATAGGAAGATTGGCCCATACTGAGGTTGTCAAGAAGATTAATGGCAATGTCTACCAGTTTAAGTCGCCCAACTATATTTGCAAAGTGGATGCAATTAATATCAAGTACTTGATTTGTACAAGAGCCACTTTTTTAGAAACTCGAGTGTGTGTTCCAGCCTGGGGATTGATACAGCTGTGGGTAGAAGATAAGTTTTTGCAGCATTAGGAGCATCCAAAGGAGGCTAGGAGTGAAGGGACTAGAAGAATCGATTAAATATCTCACTTTTATTAATTTGAATATATTTTTTGTAATAAAGCCAATCACGGCCAGGATTGAGTTTTAGTGATGAGATGGCTAGGATTAAGTCTGTTCTAGTAGGAAATCTATAAATGCTTGCTTAGCTAGGGTTTGGGATTATTAATGTTGTTTCAATTTCAAGTAAAATTTGGAGCAATGAGAGTTTTCTTCTTAATTAATCCTTTTTCCTGCTTTATTTATTTTTGTTTTTCAATCCAACTGTGAAGGATGGCTCCCTCTTCCTCTAAGCTTTCCATCCGTTCTGCCCAAGATTCAAAAAATGACCTAGATTCATCCATTGCACCTGGCTTTGGTCCAAGTTCGGCGAGCTATTAAATATACAAATTTTGGTAGGAAAAAAAAATAATAATAAAAATCAAGGATTAGAAACAAAGAAACGATGTTCAATTTTTTCAATTTCACAAAAGTAGGTAATCCTCTATTTTTTTTTTTTTTTTTTTTTTGATAAGTAAGAAATGTATTGAAAGCGATCAAGAGGGGAACGCATCCCAAGAGAACAAACACAGGGCCAAAACAACCCTTTAAGCCTTCAAAGAGGCCAAGAAAACAACAATATCCTCAGAAGATCTAAAATCTCTACCCGAAACCTAACAAAAAAGAGTGGAAAGAATAGAGAACTTAAGAAAAGAAATAGGCCTCTCCTTTCCCTCAAAATATCTTTTATTCCTTTCCAGCCAGATACACTACCACACACAAAGAGGCGTAACCCTCCAAGCATCACGAGCATGGGCCCCTACAGAGAACCCTCTCCAAGCCTCAACCATCTGTCTAGAGGAGCGAGGCATAACCCAATAAAACCCAAACAAACAAAGCATCAAGTCCCAACATTCCTTAGCCACGGGGCAATGAAGAAGAAGATGATCCACTGTCTCATTATCCTGAAGACACATGTAGCACCGATTAACCACTACCTGATTCCTCCTTCTCAAATTGTCTTGGGTCAAAATCTTACCCAAAACAGAGGTCCAAGCAAAAAAAGCCACCTTGAGAGGAGCCTTAGAGCGCCAAACAAACTTCCACGGGAAGGATCCTCCAGGCTCAGCTGTAAGACACCTGAAGAAGGAACGAACATCAGAGCAACCTTGCGGATTTGGCTTCCAAATCCAACAATCAGAATCACCAGCCATAACGCTTTGACGATACAACGCCTCCAACAAAAGAGTGACATCCTCGACCTCCCAATCTTGAAAAGGACGCCTGAATCGAACATCCCAAACCAGTCTCCCATTATCAAGACAAAAACAGTCAACCACCTGGGCTTGTTTATCCGAAGCCATCCTAAACAACCGAGGGAAAGCGAGAGCAAGAGAAACCTCCCCGCACCAAACATCGTCCCAAAAACTGATCCGCCTGCCATCCCTAAGTCTGAAACGAACATGAGTGGAAAAGACAGTCCACCCCTTCCGAATAAACTTCCAAACTCCCACACCCCTCGGGCCACGCATCTCAAGAGAGCACCACCCTCCTCTACCTTCCCCATATCTACTAGCAACAACCTTCCGCCAGAGCCAGTGCCTCTCCACCCCAAACCTCCACAACCATTTTCCAAGGAGAGCTTTATTGAAAGGCACCAATTTACGAAGGCCCAACCCACCATAACGAATCGGCTTACGCACTTGCTCCCACCGAACCAAATGAAACTTAAACTCCTCCCCTCTTCCCCCCCAAAGAAAATTGCGTTGCAACTGTTCAATTCTCTCGGCAACAAAGAGAGGAATCTGAAAAGTGAGATGAAATAAGTAGGAAGGCAAGAAAGGGTACTTTTAATTAGAGTAACCCGCCCCCCTTTAGAGAGATATTGCTTCTTCCAACCCGCCAATCTCCTCTCAAATTTGTCCACAACAGGATCCCAAACCCCCCCACACCTCGAAGGAGTTCCCAGAGGGACCCTAAATAGGAGATAGGAAAAGAGCCAGTACGACAACTAAGAATGCCCGCAAGCGAAGCTAACTCAGGCACCTCCCCTACTGGCACCAAAACACTCTTGCCAACATTCACCTTGAGGCCAGAAACGATTTGGAACCAAATCAGAACACATCTCAAATACCTGAGTTGGGACACCTCTGTATCACAAAACACAAGCGTATCATCTGCAGACATCAAGTGGGAAATCTCCAACTGGCTGGCAACATCCCTACCCACCCGGAACCCATTCAGGAAACCCAACTCAACAGCCCTCCTCAACATCCTACTGAAGGCCTCCATCACAAAAAGGAACAAAAAGGGGGAGAGCGGATCCCCCTGTCTCAGGCCCCTTGAACTAGAGAAAGAACCCGTCGGAGCACCGTTCACAAGAATAGAGAAACGAGCACTGGAGATGTAAAAATGAATCCATTTCCTCCACCGCTCCCCAAAACCCATCCTCTCCATCAGATAGAGAAGGAAACTCCAGCTCACATGGTCGTACGCCTTTTCAATATCCAACTTACACAAAACCCCTGGTTCCCCACTACTTAGCTTGGAATCCACACACTCACTAGCAATAAGAACTGAATCCAGAATCTGACGGCCTCCCACAAAAGCATTCTGAGAATTAGAGATCACACCATCCAACACTCTATGGTTTAGTTCTTCATAGAATATTCTTCTACTTCGATCTCCTATACAGGTCTGGATCAACGACCACGTGAGCTTGATCTTGAATCTGGATGTTGATCATCTTCTTCATCCTCACTTGGTCAGCGAACGTCATTCATATGAATTGTTGTATACTGTGTGAATCATTGATTGGATGGTTGTTATATGAAGAACTTTCCATCAAAGTGGATTCTTTTAGCTACTGAGATAGGTGAATCCAATTTAGCTCACTTTAGAAGGTGCTCATATGTGCATATGGTCCTTAAATTATATAATTATGTATCTGTTGAAATGGCATGTCAAATTTTTTCTTTGTGCTATAGTTTGCTTAGAGATAGTCATGTTATGAGTTTGTAACAGACATGTTTGGAGTTTGTCATTCAACTCTGGGTTTTTTCTTTAACCTTTAACAACTATGTTAAAGAGATGATTCTTCTTTTGTTTCACTTTAAACTTGTTTAGCTAGTTTTTGATTGACAGGCTTTTCTGTGTTAACATGAGCATAAATGGTTTCCCACTTTGTGTTGAATAAAAGTGTGGCATGTTTTTATGTTTTCCTGGAACCACCTAAAATAAACTCTCATGTGTGTACCCATGGAATAAAGCTTTGACGAGCTGGGTATGTGTGTTGCATCAATAGGTTATCGACCATTTGTGGAGGCATGCATTGATGCAGATGAGAAAGGTGAAGCTCTAAAATATATCCCAAAACTGGCAGATCCCCGAGAGAGAGCTGAGGTAATTTGAATATAATATGCAATTTTTGGAATTCACCACCTTTATTGATTCTTCTACATCTTATTTATGTTTACGGAGCTTTACTGGGGAAAAAAAATGCTTGCTCAGAATTCTGGAAAAGAAAAGATTGTTTCAGAATCTTTCCACATTACAGTGGTTTTATAATTTTGACTTTATTTTCTTCTTTCTCTATCAGCCTGATGCAACATTTATGGAGTTATGCATTACTTTATTGATTGTCTAATTAACATCAACAGTCAATGGTTTTTGAAGGAATGACTTGCCATACTAGGATCTGCACTCTCTCTCTCTCTCTCTCTCTCTCTCTCTCTCTCTCTCTCTGTATGTGTTTGTGTCTGCTGCGTGTCTGTCTGTGAGTGTGTGTGAGTGATGGCTTATTATTAAATCTTCTTTCGTATTTGTTAAAAGTATTCTCAAGGTACATCTTTTATTCCTGAACAGGCCTATGCTCGAATTGGCATGGCCAAAGAAGCTGCAGATGCTGCATCTCAGTCTAAGGATGGTGAGCTGCTTGGGCGGTTGAAGTTGACTTTTGCACAAAACGCAGCAGCTTCATCCATTTTTGACACTCTTCGAGACCGACTGTCCTTCCAAGGCGTTTCTTAGTCTTGTTTCCGCTCACTATTTTCGTTCCCTCTATTTCCTTTCGTGTTGCATGTGTATTATGCTTTTCATAATGCGGTGAATACAGAGCAGACTGTTTCCCTTTCTGGTATCGTGTTCACATGGTTGAAGCTACAACCCTTCAAGTTGTTCCCCATCCCCATCATCGAGGAAGCTGTCCAAGGCACATATGTTTATTTATTTTTAGTTTTCTTTATATAATTAGGTAATTGTATTTGTAGGAGCAGTGATTCTCATTTTAACAAAGATTCTCTAGATCATGTTAATATGAGAAAGCCCTTTGTTTGATTGTCTCTTCCATGGAGGTAATTTCCTGAAAGATTGTCACTCATTTCCTGGAAAATGGGGTGATACAATAGTGGCATTTACAAGTGACTACCGTCAGTAAGGGCGGCAAATGGGTGGGTTGAGCCCAATTTGGGTTTGGGCTGGTTTGAAATTGAGTGGGTCAAATATGGGTCAAGTCAGTAAGGGCGGCAAATGGGTGGGTTGAGCCCAATTTGGGTTTGGGCTGGTTTGAAATTGAGTGGGTCAAATATGGGTCAAGATTCATATTCAACCCGTTCAGAAAGAGTTAAAAATGAACGAGTCAAATGTATAGGGTCAACTCGACCGGTAGATTCATTAAAAATTATTTTTTAACTATTTTTTTTTAAAATTATTTTATTTTTTTTTTGATTTTTTGATTCTTAAATTTTTTTAATTATTATTTATTTTAATTATTAATTATTAATTATTTTAAAATTTTAAATTATTTAATTATTAAATATTTTTCTATATTTTTTTATTTTTTAAATTATTATTATTATTTTTCAGAAGGTTTTAAAATTTTATTTAATAATAAATAAATAAATAAAATAATTTCAAACTCAGCAATATTTACCCACTCCTTTTAAAAAAATAAGTAAATAAATTTTTAGAGAGAAACTTAAAGAGAGGGGATTGTCTTTCGGAGAGAGCGAAGTGAAGGAAAGAATAAATTTCTAGAGAGAAACTTAGAAAGGGGATTGATGAAAGACAAATTTAGAGAGACGATTGTGAGTGAGAGAATTTTAGAGAGAAAGAAATGAGTTGGGTGTAATATAGAATAAATGTGTGTTGTCTATCTATTATGTAATGGGTGAAATATGGGTTGAATATGAGTATTCATATTTAATCTATCTTGATTCTTAAATTAAGTGATTAAAAATTACCCAATCTATTTTTGACCCATTTTAAATAGGGTTTACTCATAATTATTAAAAAGCGAACAGATATGAACGGATTGATGAGTTGTGACCCATTTTTCCACCCGTAATTGTCAGCAATGAATACTTTTCATGCTGCAAATAAAAGGTGGATAGAAAAAGTATCACACATCAGCATATATTATAGCAAACTCTAGAAATAAATTACTATATTATTAATGCAGACTTATCTTCCTTTATGTAATATATATGTGTGCGTGTGAGTGAGAGAGAGGGCTTCTTTTAAGCACACGTCTATTGTCCCCATTTTTGTAAGTAAAAGTATATCCCAATATTTTCTTACTGCGCATCCCAATATTTTCTTACTGTGCATCCCAAACATGGATGACATGGCTATTTCTAGATTTTCAAAATAGAGTAAATGACACACTATTTCACTGGAAGTAATTTTCACTCGTGTTTTGAGTAGGAAATGACTTCCATTGGACAAGACAACCCAAATTCAGTTCAGCATTCTATATCCTTAGTTTTGTGTGTGTACTTTGGCACATAAAATTCATCATATATGGACTGTTAGGAAAGAGCACTTGGGCTTTAAGGACAATAGTTGAGAGCTGGATTGCATTACAATGACACTTCAACCATCAAGAATTATGATTCAGTGTTATTTCCAACCCTCATTATGCTAACAGAGGAAAAAATAAAAGACAGTTAACTTTCTTATAAAATAAAATGAAAATTAATTCCAGCTCAGGAAATATTTATAATATCATAAAAAAAATTGAGAAAAAACCACAATAATATTTAATTATGTTTTACAAACTCGATCCAACAATTTGATACAGCTAGAGAAATAACAGATTTTTTTTTTTTTTTTTTCGCTGCATAAAAATGATAAGCAAAAATACCTAAAATAAAATTAGATTTGACCAAGAGACACTCCAAACAAATTAAGCCTATACTCAATTTCATAACACAATTGGCACAATTCCAATTCGTTTAGGTGAAGGATCAAGGAAGTAATGTGTCCCAAAGCTTCAATTCTCTATGTTGAAGATATCAATTTCATGGCGTCTGGGATGCCATAAAAGATCAATAAAATCATCGGCGTATGTGGAATTCAGCTCGCATCCGGGCCATTTGGAAGCTGAAACACAAATGGAATGGTTATGTCCCAAAAACAGGGTGTCACTGCCCAAGCTCTTCATTTCAACCAGCTTAGCCCAACCTTGCTCAAATTGGTCTAAGAGCAACTTGAAAACCTTAAAAGTTGTGTGATGTGTGTCATTTTTAGATTTAAAAATCCTTTTTACAAGAAGTAAATCCCCCATAGATGATTCGACAACGACAAAATACTTCGGTTTAGAATACACATTAGTCCGTGGTATAATTACCTTCACTTGGAGAGCCATACCATCTCCTGGCCTTCTATTAACATCAATCATTCGTACTCCACCTCTATTATCAATTGCAAAAATCTGGCCTTTATAATAGGTGACATCATAGATCATTATAAATCTCTCTGTATTTATGCAAGTCCAAGCGTCATCTCCTGCCTGAATAAATACCAAGCTATGGCAACCACTATAAATGGCGGTAACAATATAGTCATTAGGAGATGAAGCAGGATCAGCTGACAATATAACCTTAATAACTTCAAAATCATCATCGTCATTGTCATAGTCTTCATGAGGAGGTTCCAATTTTGAGGGCTCCATAATTGAAGGAAGCTCAATGGTAGCGCCAGAGAATGGGTTGATTAAGGTTATGCCCAATGATTCATTCACAGTATACAACCAACCATGTGTGGAGCCCATAACTGAAAATCATATAGTTTACTGTGAGTGATGCTGTATAGTAAGGCTGCAACTCGGGCGGGTTTAAGGTATAACTTGAAACCAACCCACTATATGAAATGCTAAACCCTAACCCTATCCTCAACCTTAACTACTCAACCCAAGTCCAACCCATCCTTCTATTTTTAAATTCGGGCTTGCAACTCGGGCTTAGATTCTGGGTAAAAACTTCGGGTTAATTCGGGTTACTCATATGACTAATCCTTACACCAAAAATTTAATATGATATTGAATTAATTTTAAATTAAATTACTCTTAAACAAGAAAAAGTTTAAAGACTTTTTGTAGAATTTTAATGAATTGCAAACAAATTTTTAGAAAATTAATTAGCCTAAATATTAACATACAAGAAGTTGAAAAGTAAAAAAGTAATCATAATTTAAATATTATATTTAATGTATTTAAAAGTAAAAATATATATAAAAATAATATTAGAATTCGGGTTCGGGTTGACTCAGGTTGCTAGCACTTCAACCAAAGCCCAACCCTAATTAAATTCGGGTTGAGATTTTTCAACCCAAACCCAACCTAAATTGTAAAAATAATTGTCCAAGCTCATAAAAAATCAGGCTGGGCTCGGGTTGGGTTCAGGTTACCCAACCCAAGTTGCACCCCTACCATATAGACTAAGTCTTTCCTCGCTATTAACTTTCATAGGACCATCAAGAATGGAACTTGTCTGCAAGCCTTCTTTTCAAGGACTTGAACTTCGTTCTCCATTGCCACAGAATGCCATTGTTTACAAACCGCACCAAAGCGAACATAGTCTGAAAGCGAAACTACTTTGTCCAGAATCATGTCCAATAAGATCTTCGGAAGCCATGCCCAATTTGACTCCAATAACGAACCCATATTCATAATCACAATTTCACTGCAATGCCAAACAATCAGAATAACTTCCCTCATGTCTACAATAATCAATTAATTGAAAAAAAAAAAATCGAATGGAATTCATAATTTTAAACTAAGCTAGTCACAAAAAACAATACCTCTTTCCTCGTACACAATGTAACAAATTTGCCACTAAAATTTTGAAAAACTGCTCAAGAAAAAGAATTTTCAATACTTAAATCTAATTGTCCCACTCCCAAACCCCAAGTCCCAACCCATAGAAACAATATATATTGCAGAATAAATATAATTCGAACACTTATAGCAACTTTAATCCATTGATATATATATATATATATATATATATATATATATATATATATATATATATATATTTACGTGCATGAATTTAATTAAGCATTCAAATACATGATAGAGTAATCATAAATTCAGCTAATATATACTTCAAATAAAACCTAGCCATCACAGCTAAGAGTCATTCATGTACTGTGTGGATGAATTTCTTGCTCATTTGATCATTTCCATGTATATATATATATATATTCAAAACAACTCACCAATGAGTAATGCTGACCTAAATACATATAAACTGAAAAGTTGGTAGAATCCTAATATAAGAAATTAAAGAGCAAGAAAATCAATTAGCAATACAAAAACCTAGAGCCAAAAAAGAGAAAAAGAAGATCTGAAAGACGATTTTTGTTATAAAAAAAGGTTCAAAACCTAGAAAATAAATAATAATAATAATAATAATAAATTAAAAAAAAAGAAAAGGAGTTGAATAGGTTATTTGTACCCTTTGTTCAATAACTAAAAAATTAGGGCTTGTGAGAACAACAAACTCCTTAATGGTAATTTTAGTGCTTGTAAGAAGGAAGAATAGAGGGGAAAAAAAAATTTGGGCTTGGAAGTTGTAACATAAAAAAATTAGGGCTTGGAAGTTGTAACAGAAAAACAAATGGAGGAAGAGAAGAAAAATGAGAGAATAACAGAACTCACCGGAAGGGATTTGTGTTTTCCGGTGACCGATCGACCAGCTCCACTCAACCGCTTTGTTGCTTTCAAGTGGTCTGCACTGAAGAGAAAACTTGCTTGGAGTCTTTCTTAGGTTACAGATTTTACGGAGTAGATAGAAAAGCTTTTGGGAATGGAGAGATGTTAATGTACAGACACGTGGATTATGTAACTACGTAACTTAATAAATATAATTGGAAATAATTAATATATATGTATAGTATATTGCACTAATATAATGTATAAAACACAAACAAAGGGGCCAATGAGTGTTATATATATATATAGTCAACCGTCGGAATGCTTGGATCCTATTCTATTGTCAACATGCCATGACAGCTTTATTGGATAAAATTCATAATTCGCAGTATCGATCACGATCGTAGTTGCGGTATAATGAATTCGAACAAAATTAATATAAATTGATCGATACAAGTCACGTATCGAACTCAAAAAAGAATTGCGTATCGATCGATACAATTTCGATCTCTTTAATTCATATTCGATTTATTAAAAAGATATCATGTTCATGAAATTGGATTATTAATGAGTTATCGAATTTTTATTCAATTCATATCGAGATATTCGGATCCTATTCGGATTTAAGGATTGGGTTTGGTTTTGATACTAATTACAACGAATGTACACTTGTTTATTTATTTAAAATCTAAACTGTTAAGTAGTGTTATATACCCATTCATTTATACACAATCATTTTTTCATTCCAATTTGATGTGCTAAATTGTCGGAATAGGAGGGCATCGAGCTAGCTGACTAACATAATTGCCAAAAAAGAGATCGTGCGGTGACAGCTATACTCGACTCCCACATGATGGCTACTGATTGAGATCTCCACAAATAACATACTATTTGTTCGCAAAAAATTGTAATTAGTCATGATGTCAGCACAATAGTGATTAGCTCATATCGTGACTCTCGGCTAGCAAAACAATGTAGCTAGGCTGACGTGGCTGGCAATTTAAATATGTATTATAGCATGGCGGGGCTCGTGAATTGGATTAAATTCCATTTACCTTCACGTTTAAAGCCTACTCACCTACTATTTTGTCATTGAATCATTCATTTCCTTAAAAAAAAAAAAAATTATTGATATTTCCCACAACCACGGCCGCGGCCACCACCACCATAGCCATGAATTTGTTGATTTTTCCCACCACCGCTGCCACAATCAAAATCATTAACTAACAAAGGATTAGAGGATCTTTTTGTTACTTGATAAAAATTTGAACTGATTGGGCCTGTGGGCTTGGTTGTTTTGGACCTGTTTGGTCTAGGACTGTTTTGGTTTGTTGTTCGATTTTGTGTTGCTTTCGTTGGCGCCCATTGGGCTTGTTTGGCCTTGGTGTGTTTGGGCCTTGGGGAATGCCCCATGTATATATGTACAACTCTTTTCTTTTATTACAACTTATTATTTACGGAAAATAAAATAAAATAAGTTAATAAAAACTATTTGAGTAAAAGAATTTAGTATTTGGGAATATAAATCTTTAGATTTAAAAATTATGATAATGGATTCAAAAAGTTTAGTTCATTGATTAAAGTTTTTACGATTATTTTCTATGTAGGAACGAAGCTAATTAAGGAGCTCTCCAACAAAAACAAAAACAAAAAAGCTCCTATTCTTAAATCATTTTATAAAAGAACTTAAATCAAATAATATATCTTCTACAAATTTCAATTATATGTTGTTGCTATTGTTTTTATATCATAGTTGGTTGTAGAACAATAATTTTATTTTACTTTTTTTTTTTAACTTAAATTTTAGATAATTTAAGGTCATTTTATAAATCTCTTCTACAAAATCCTGCACACAGCACAGCAAAGCACAGCACACACTTGATTTTAGTTCTTAGTTAATTTTGTTATTATTCCAAGCACAAAAACAAGCAATGGCAATCACAAAAAACCATGGAGAATTAATATGGGTGTTTTGAGCTTTGTGAAAATTAAATGCAAAATGTCTGAATTTAGTAGTTTACTATTCACCCTAAGAGATTTATAAAAATAAACCGAAGCGGGGCCAAGCCAAACTCGATTAAGTCTGCTTGGATTCAACTTGTTCTTTTGTGGGTTTAGTCCGTGCTTGGATCTGGATCACGAAGAGCTTGAAAGTTGAGTTCGGGCTTGACTTGTTTAAAAATAAAAGTTACGGTTCTAAATTTTAATTTGGTTATTTATATGCTATTATGAGTTTATTAATGTCTATTTGAGTTAAATTGAAATAATAATAATAATTGAACTCGGTACGATAGACTGAATAAGAAAATTTTGTTAATGCTGTTATGCATATTGAATTTTATTAGATTGTAATTATAAATTACTAAGGTGAATTGTAGACATATAAGAAGTTTTGAAACCAAAAAGAATAATAAGAAATTTAGGTAATAATGGTAAAGGGTGAAATGTCAAAGAATTGAGGGATTCACTCAAATAGGAAAACATATTAACGAGGGTGTAAATTATGAAATTTAGAAATTAATGGATTTAAAATAAATAAGGTAAATTGTTAGTGGTGGTTGAAAGTATAAATAAAATAAATAATAGGTTTATACTCTTTTTTTTTTTTTTAAAAAAGAGTAGTAGTAGTCAATTCCCAAACAAGGCCTTAACTAAGCAAGTTTTCAAACGAAGCGATTCTCGCAATGTATTTGTCCAAATAATGGTATACAAAGGTCCAAAGGGTGACAGAAACCATAGCATATTTAAAATTAGTCAATAAAAATTAACTATAAAGTTGTACCAAATTCACCTATAAATATATATATATATATATAATGTTTTAATTAGATGATGTTCTTGTAGGCAAATTAATTAATTTGAAAATGAATCTTAGAGACAATGTTCAAAATTAAAGTGTGACCTAATACGGTGAGACATCTTCCTTTCGGACTTTTCTACCATATCATATATGTTAAGCAACGACCATGATTTGCAGTATTGGCCGATAATGGTTCGTAACTTTTTTTCAAAGGTTTGATATCATTACACACCTTCATAAATCAGTCGATTTAGCCTATTTATACTGATATTCGTCTGAGTCCATTACATCGCAATCGCGACCGATACCGCAACTAATACCGTTAGCAATTGAAAAAGAAATAATAGAATGAGATATGAAAGTATGTTAAAAAAATCTAAATGGTCATAATTAAATAATATATGCCCACAACAATTTAACAAAAAGAAATACTTCTAAAGAGCATCTTACAAAAAATTCCCATAAGAGTTCAATTTTGCGATGTTAGTGTTGACCCTAAAATCGGCTCCTAAGATCCGATTCTAATTTGATGAGTTGCGGGCGTGCCAGAACCAAATATAAGGTTCAAGTATAAATTGTCAACTTTAGTCCCTTTGAGCAAGTTGACTTTCAGGCGATTGCGAGTAAAAACGGAACAGAAAAATTCCTCTTTAGGTTCAAAATTGCCTAGTTAAAGGACTTTATAGTGAATAAATTATAGTATCGTATTAAGAGAATAGAAATGGGAGAAATATGGATATAGCAAGAATTTAGAGAAAGAGAAAGAGTTAGAGAAAGAGAGAGGATGCTATTTTTAGGAAAGAGCTTGAGAAAGCAAACAAATAATAATAAAGATTTTGAGGGTGCTGGACCTCTTACACAGCATGCCTCCCTGTTTATTTATAGAGTAAATAGTAAACAGAAACCTAAATACAAGCATCCTAGTTGTATTCTAATACATCTAAATAATTATTCAAATCTAACTAATCCTAACTAAATACTAACTCTTAACTCCATTTAAATACAAGACAAACATATAACTTTTATCTAATATATTTGCAATTCAAATATCTTCTATCCTATCTGCAGTGCCCTTGTATGTAGCTTTGCCATCTTTTGTGATTTTGCCATGTCATCCAAACCAACCACAATCCATGCAATGTGTGAAGCCCAACATTCTAACTATATTGTATTATCCCAGCCGAAGACCAAATCAATTGCTTACCAAAATATCTTCTAGCCCAATCTCATTGTCGCATGCTTCAGCCCATTATCCTCTCGGCCCAATCCTCCAACACATCATTGTTTCACAGGTTTTACATGGCCCATACTACTACTTACTTCACTGTCCATCAAATCCAATTAGGGCCAAAACCCAATTACCAAAATGGGTGCCAAGGACATTTGGTTTATGGACTCATGATTGGGCCGAAGATGGGTTTACAACCCAAATGCCAAATGGGTGTCAACAATGCCCCCCAATTTTGGTAGCCGTTTTAACCATTCGGCTTCCAAAATTTAAATACACCCATTGCGTTAGGACATAACACACATATCATATAATCTCTTGAGTTATATCAGGAGTAGATTTCCCAAAAATGCCGATCACACTAACCCATCTTATCAGTCATTAATTACATTGTGATGATCCTTTCATTTTCCACTAAAAAACACGTCTCTTCTCTCATTTGAACAAAACTCTACAAACAAAATTCTCTCTTTCTATCAAAGTTCTTCTCTCTCTGAAACTCTTTCTGCAACTAAATCCTTTTTGCAACCATGGCTTCAAAATCACAGAAGCAAAGTGATTTGACTTTAGAAACTCCCTCTCCCGAAGCAACATCGCATACCCAAATGACAAAATCTGTAATCAAAACCCTAGCCCCAACCGACTTGAATGCCACCACTTTGATCAATATCACAGAAAACGCCAAGGGACTTGGCCCAGTGTTTCTTAATCGATTTCCTCCTTCGTTATTCTCGATTTATCCCCAAGCCGAGTAACAACTTCCTTTCTCAAAACCTCTCTATCTTACAGCGGAAGGGGACAAACCAACCCTCTTTGTTAGAAATTGGCATCCACCAATGCTCTAATGGAACGACTGGGTGGATTGTGTATCAGCAGTGAAAGGAGAGCAGTGGAAAAGGATGGGTATTTACGACCTCATCCAGCTCAGTAAGATCCCTTTTACTTTTGACCGAGCCTTGTTTTTTGCTTCTTTACACTTCTGGTCACCCACAACCAATTCACTACACTTGCACTGTGGTATGATGGCCCCTATCTTGAGGGATGTCTGTTTTTTAACGGGGTTAAGGCATGGGGGAGATGAAATCAATTATCTCCTTCAGGATGAAGAGACCTCCTTTTATTTTCCAGAGCAAAAAGGGGCTAAACCCTATGTGCAATCACATGGTCCTTTCCTAAAAGAAATGTTAGGGGAAGAAGGGACCGATGTAGATGAACAAGAACACATAGGGTTTCTACTATTGTGGTTATGTAGATATTTGTTGTGTACCCCTGCCATTCAGATCACCAAAGACCTTACCCAACTGGCCATTGCCCTATCTAAAGGAAAACCCATGGCATAAGCTCCGTTTCTCTTAGCTTCTTTGTACAGAGGCTTGTTCGATCTCATTACTTCCAACTTTTCAAGGTCTAGAGGACCACTTTGGCTCTACCAATTCTGGTTACATGCATATTTTCCTGAACTAGCTCTTCCCATTCGGCTTGCTCCAAATAATCCTTTGCTGTCATTCAGGTATGCTAGAGTCAAACCCAAAGACTATTCCTTTAATGACTGTTTTCAATTTTTCTATCATCAATGCAAGATTAGGACTCAATCCCAATTCCTTACTTTTTCTAAATGTCAACTAGCTCCATCCTGGTTGTTTCCTCTTACTGCCGAGTATTTACCTGAACAGATTGACCTTTATATCACTTCATGGGGCCATTTCTTGATTGCAAGAGATATACCTTACAATACCGTTGCTCCCAATTTGCCCAAGAGCCGAACTGGGGTTGAATTTTACAACCCAGCGTAGTTAGCTCGGCAATTTGGATTAATCCAAATGATCCCAGTGCCTCCCCATTTTTCTTACAACAAGAATTATCACAAGCGGGTTAAGCTCTCAAACAGTGCACAGATTCAGGATGTTACCAATCGGTTTACCCAACGTCTTCAAGAATTTCAGTACAAGTCCTTCCTGGAAGAACCGCATACAGATCCAAGCTTTGAAACCCGGTGGGCTTCATATATCAATTTTACCAAGACTGTAGATTCCAGTCAACTTGTGTCCACTCTCCTTGGTTCCTACAAATTCATATCCCTCAATTTTCAAGGTGTGGATTCCATTGAACCCGTTTATCTTACTACCGCTCCTGAACAAGAGAACGTAACAAATGTTGCACTAACTCGTTCCTCCTACAGCTCTTGTAGGTAGGACCAAATCCCGCTCTCGACAAAGTAAGTTTTCTATCCTTGTCCTTTCCATAATACTTCTGTTTGGTTTATATGACCCCTTAACAATAGGTAACATAAATCCAGGCACATATTCCAATGCACCAGAGAAATCTGCACCTACCAAGTCTGAAGAAACTTATATTGATTTCTATGTTCCTTTGCAAAGTATATCCCCATCTTCGGCCACTCAGGTAATACTCCTAATTGAATCATATATATCCTTTTTGACGCATACCATTCCCTTACTTAAACTTCTTTTCCAGAAAGCTACAAGAAAGAAAACCATGGGAAAGAAACCCAAAATGTCAAGAGCCAAGAGGCACTTTGATTTGATTGATGATGATGAAGTCATCTCCAAGAAGAAGAAACCTACTACTGAATCTCCCAATGTAATTTCTTTGTTGCCTGATCTTCTATATATTACCTCTTTTACTCCTTGAATATAACTAATTCGGCATTATTTTCAGAAAGCTCCAGTCTCCTCAGATCAGAAATCAATTCAAGAAATTTCTACAGATCATGTCGAAGATGAAGACAAAATTGAATTATCAGTAGAACAAAAGCCAATGTCTCCAGTGTCTTCCCCAAACCTGGCTGCAACTTCAATTGGTGAACAAATTGGAGATTCTGATGAAGTAAGTGATGATATATATATATATATATATATATATATATATATTTTATGACCTGTTCTTGTAAACTCATTATAACTATGGCTAACCTAACATATTTCAGGTACAAAAAGACTCGGCTACTCCAACCATTCCTGTCAGTATCAACCCAAATTCTCCTTTCACAACCATTGACTCATTATTTGATTCTGTATTTGACTTACCAGATCCTGAGTCTCCTGAAATCCCATCTGAAAAAACTTCTGAAAATCCCCTGGAAGTAACAAAAGCCATTCAGATACTGTCCCAAATGGTGCAGCAAGACTTGTCTCTAGCCCCTTCATTCAAAAACGAGTTAACCGAAACACTATCCTGCTTGAGTAGTTACCCAAGATTCTCTTTAGGTGACTAAGCTCTCTTTAAGAACTTCCAACTTCAAATCTCTTCTTTGACCACTACTTATAATGAATCTGTCCATACCATCGACCATTACTCTTCCCAATGTCATGAAAAAGAAAATCTTTCTCAGACATTAAAGAAAGGAAATGAGCTTCATTTATCTCTGAAGAAAGAGGCTGCTGAACTGGACGCTAAGGAAAAGAAGCTTCAAGCCAAACTTGCTCAACTTCAGTTAGACAAGACACAGCTTGGTAGTAAGGTGGCTGAACTGAAAGTTTAAACGGAGACCGCAGCCCTCAAATTCAAAGCTTTGCAAGCGCAGATGCCGAAGTTGGAGCAAAACAAGAAAGTGGCAGAAACATCCCTTAATCAATCCCGGGCTTCGTGGGCAAACTTCAAAGCCAAATTTGAAGAATTTCACAGCAATTTCAACAAAATTTAAACATTTATGGGTCTGTAATATGCTTTTGAACAATTTGCCTTTTGTGATGTTTTAAATAATCTTGCTATAATGATATTCTGGTCTTTGAAGTATACTGAGCTTTTATTTACTGTATAAACAAATTTATCCATAAATTGTTCAATCAAAAAGGCAAAATATAATCCAAGCTATTTTGACTTAAATGGAAACTTCTTTTCTTCCATAAGCTCAAAAATAGTTGGCTTATATTTTTTAAGGTACCTTCCATTTATTGGCCTTTCATGCACTTCACCATCTAGATTTTTTTAACTTGTAAGCTCCTCCATGCAATACTTGGTGAACCAAGTATGGGCCTTTCCATGTGGGTGACCATTTTCCATAAACTCTATCCACCTTTCCAGGTGGAAGACTTGTTTGCCACACCATGTCACCCTCTGCAAACAAGTTGAACTTCACCCGTTTGTTGTAGGCTTTCATTACCTTTGCTATATGGACCATAAGGTGGTCTAAAGCAAGTTTTTGGACTTCATCCAAATCTTCTAACTCAACAAGCATAGTTTCGTTGTAATCGGCAGGTATAAGATTATGTTGTAAAGCTACTCTTGCCGATTTCACATTTAACTCCATCGACAGCACGGTATCATGGCCAAATGTAAGCCGATAAGGAGTTGTCCCAGTACTTGTCCGCTTCGAATTTCTATAAGCCCACAAAGCTTCTGAAAGGGTTTTATGCCAACGCCTCGGCTTGTCTTTTATCATTTTCTCAATAATTAAATTACAACTTTATTTGAAGCCTCTGCTTGGCCATTCCCTTAAGCATAATAGGGTGTGGAAGTTACCATTTTTACTTGTATATCAATACCAAGTTGTAATACTTCATTTGCTCGAAACACAGATCCATTATCGGCAATAATTGTTTCTGGTAAGCCAAATCGGTGAAAGATATATCGCTACAGAAACTATATCACCGTGTTATGAGTTACTGAAACATATTCCTTGGCTTCAACCTACTTAGTAAAATAATCGGTAGCTAAAATAATCTAATGATGACCTTTTGATGAAGGAGGATTAATCTTACCGATTAGATCCATGGCCCAACCTCTGAAAGGCCATGGTTTAACTAATAATTGCATTTCTATTGCTGGAACCCACTGCATTGGGTCATGCTTTTGACAGTCTATACAACCTTTTGCATAAGTCATACAATCTTTTCTCATTCCAGGCCAATAATATCCATATCGGCGTATCAACCATCTCATCTTTATGCTGGCTTGGTGAGCTCCACATATCCCTTCATGTACCTTGGCCATAATCTTCAAACCCTCAAACTTATTAATGCACTGAAACAACAAACCATCATCAGCCGATCTTCTATAAAGATCTCCATCCATATGCACATAATCAACTGCACTTCTTTTTATTCTTCGGTCGGTTTCTGGAGTTGGATGTTGCAAGAACAAGATGTAAGGGATTCGCCAATCATCATCATCCAACTCGGCAACATCAGTGGCAAAGACTTCTTCCATAACTTGATTTCTTATTTCAGCCGATGGAAGAGATCGACGTGTAATCCTCACTATCCTTTCCTTCATACCACTCGGCACCCTGACTCCTGAAGCAGTCTGTGCTAAATCATTAGCTATTTTATTCATGGTCCTTGGTCTATATTCCAAAGTTACATTATGAAATTGGTTGACCAATTGGGTTGCCAACGAATGAAATGGTCTTAATTACCAATTTAAGCATCTAAAGTCTTCTGAGAATTGATTAATCATTAAACTTGAATCTCCCACAATGTGGATGTCTTTGACTGCCATTTCTAGCAAAATTTCCAAGCCGATAATCAATGCTTCATACTCGGATTGATTATTTGAGCACCTGAAATCCAAAAAGAAAGAAAACAAAATTTGATTCCCTGTTGGGGATATTAGCATAATGCCAGCTCCTGACCCTTCACTGGTACTCGACCCATCGAACATTAAAGTCCAAGGGGTCATGAATATGGCTACCGCGTCAAGCTCATCAAACACTTCTGATTCAATTTCAGGTGATGGATGATCGGCAAGAAAGTCTGCCAATGCTCTTCCCTTAATTGCCTTTTGTGGAACATATGCAAAGTTGAATTCCATTAGTGCCAAAGCCCATTTGCCAATCCGGCCTGTGATTAATGGCCTTGATAACATATACTTTATAAGATCTGTTTGACAAATAATATAAACCAAAATAGGCAACATATAGACTCTTAATTTCATTGCTGCAAAATACAAAGCCAAACATAATTTCTCAATTGGTGTATATCTACACTCGACTGGAATTAAAACTCGGCTGAGATAATATATTGCTTGTTCACTTCCTGCTTTATTCTCTTGTGCTAACATAGCTCCAATGGATTCTTCAACAGCTGATAAATATAATTTCATTGGCCATTTCTTCCTTGGTGGCATCATGACAGGAGGACTCGACAAGTATTTCTTAATCTGGTCAAATGCCCTTTGATGTATATCATCCCATTTGAATTCTTCCATCGGCTTCAACTTGAATAGTGGGGAAAACACATGTAACTTCCCAGCTGTATTAGCAATAAATCTCCTTAGATAATTCATTTGCCCAAGTAACCTCTGCAACTGTTTCTTGTTTCTCGGCACACTAGCATCAATAATCACCTTAGCTTTATTCCTATCGATCTCTATACCCTTTGATGAACCAAGAAACCCAAAAAGTTTCTTGCCGATACTCCAAAGGCACACTTTATTGGATTCATTTTTAGCTTATGAGCCCTCATCCTCTCAAAAGATGCTTTGAGATGGACTAAGTGCTCTTTCATCGTTGCTGATTTCACCACCACATCATCAATATACACCTTTATAAACTTGCTGAGCATATCATGAAAAATAGAATTCATGGCTCGCTGATATGTGGCCCCAGCATTCTTCAACCCAAAAGGCATTACCACCCACTCAAAAGTTCCAATCGATCTAGGACACCTAAAAGTTATCTTTGGAATATCCTCCTCGGCTATATAAATATGATTATAGCCTGAGTGTCCATCTATAAAAGACAGAATTTGGAGCTTTGTAACCGCATCAATCAGCTGATCGGCTATCGGCATTGGATACTCATCTTTTGGAGTTGCCAAGTTTATGTTTCGGAAATCAACACATATATATAATTTTCCATTCTTCTTGATAACAGGGACTACATTTGATAACCATTCAACATAACTTGTAGTTCGAATAAAGCCAACATCCAACAATCGTTCGATTTCTACTTTGACTTTATCTATCACCTCTTGAGACATTCGATGAGGTGGCTGTTTATATGGCTTCTAACCATCTTTAATGGGCAGCAGATATTCCACCAGATCTCTGGATAAACCTGGCATTTCCTCATAATTCTAAGCAAAACAGTCACTGTATTGCTTCAACATACTGATACCCTCGGCTTGCAATTCTGGTTCTAACAGTGCACTAATATAAGTTGGTCTAGGCTCTGCGTCAGTGCCTAAATTCACCTCCTTTAATGGATCTTGAGTTTCTGCTTTAAGATCATCGAGCTTAACTGGTGCTATTTCCAAGTCTTCCAACTAAATTGCATCCAACTTTTCATTATTGAACCGATTGATCTTAGTAAGATTAACCGATGGTCCTGGCTCTATTATTGCTTCTTTTTCTAGCCGTTTTTCCGCTATGTATGCTTGTAGCCTAATGCAAGTGGCCCTAAAGGCTTGCTGCCGAGTAGCTTCCCTTTCAAGTTTTGCTTCCATCAACAACTTCTTCAATTATAGCAAGCCGAGGGAGTTCTACCTTCGGCCTGGAATTCTCCTGCTGCAACTCGCCGATTTCACGATCGGCAAGAATTCTTTTCATGGTTGCCGAGGTTGGTCTTCCATCGGCTCCTGTTACCACAAATCGAATAGGAACACATTCTTCGTCATACAAAACAGCATCTGCCGAGTACACTTTTGCCACAAATGGCTTATCATCGGCATTTACTATTTTCACCTTATCTCCATCCCAAAAAATCAGCATTTGGTGCAATGATGATGGGATACACATATTTGGATGAATCCAGTCACAGCCTAATAACAAATTATAGGAAGTCATGGATTCAATAATAAAGAATGCCACAAAAGATGTTCTACCTCCAACTTCTACTTCTAAGGGAAGGATCCCTTTAGTGCTAGTAGAGCCTCCGTTGAAACCACAAATTGCTACATCAGTAAGAATAACATCTTCCATACTCTTGCCGAGTTTCTTCAATGTGTTTGCTGGAATAACATTCAGAACCGAGCCATTGTCTACCAAGACTCGATTAATAGGTTGACCTTCTACCCATACCTTAACATACAAAGGCCAGAGTTGTTGAGTCATTGCTAACAAAGGTTTTTCAAAAACCACTTTCTCTGCCGATTCTGAAAAAAAGAATTGATAAATTCTGAATCAGCAGAGTTTCCTTCTCATTTTTCTCAGTATTTGCATCTGATACCGATGGAGCCTAGAACATTGCTGGTAATACAAATGCCATGTTACATGACATCTTATCTGGGAAACTGCCAAACTGAATTCTGAACTCATTGTTGTGTCTGGGCCACATCGGCTGATGCTCCTCATCCGGTTCATCTTTATCTGGAAAACCGATTTCCTCTGCTTGCACTACTTTGCTTCCTCCCTCAGCTTTCCTTTTTTCCTTAGCCCTTCTCCTTTGTTCCCTATGCTTCTGAGATCGAGTTAGGCCCTCATTCGGATATTGTTGAGCTTTAGGGAACTTTGGATGATTAAGTCGAGTCTATCTTCAGTTGAGTCTGTCCTTGGTTTCACAGTTCGTACTTGGTGGGTCGTCGTCTTACCATGAGCTTAAGAGTGTGCATTAAGGCTAAATCAAAAGTTTAGCCAAACAACAAGCATAGATTGTCCTCCCATTTAACACTACACTACAACTACACTACATCTACATTACTAGCATGAAAATAAACTAGGGGAGAGACACAATCCATCAAGGAATAATTATGAACCATTAAGAGAATCACAAGAACATTCCTTTAAGCACTATGTTTTGACAATCTCCAAATCTATAGCATCAATACACATAGACATACATCAATAACACAAAATCTAGAGACAAGCACATAAACATCTATTCTAGCATACATAGACATATGGATAGAATAAAATGATCAATTGGAAGCATTAAACCACATAAATCATTAAATAAACAAGATCTAAATATATCAAAGTGTCAAAACATTATTTACAACACTAATCCCTCAATAATACACAAGATTAAGATATAGAAAGCATGCTTGGGGCTAACTCTAGCCCAAGAGGATGTCTAGCGACTCATGGTGATATTGCTCCAACCTTCAAAGGCTAAATCCATGGAAGAGGCTTGCTCCTTGGTTGATGAAGAGTTTCCAATGGTGTCTCTGGCTTCCTCCTCCTCTAAACTTCTTCTCCAAGAGATGATATGAAAACAATATTGGCTCCTCTTGTAAAAAGCAATCCTTATCCTTATATAGGTAGGTCAAAATGACACCCAAAATAAGCTGGGGTTGTGCACACAATTTCCTAATGATTAGATAAAAGACAACTTTCAATGAGATGGAATTTTAACTTTTTCGCACTGGAGGAAGTTCGATCGATCGAGCCTTGGTCTTGAATCGATCGAACTTAGGCTGGATCGATCCAACTGGCTGAGCGTTTTAGAAAAAGACAAATCTGAGATATTTTGGGAGATATTTATGGGAAAAGGACAAAAGTGGTTAGTGGGTGGTGCAGCTGTGGATAGGATCAATCATTTTGAATAAGGACAAAAGTGTTCGATCGATCAAAGGATAGTGTTGGATCGATCAAACTTTTGGACTTTATGCTTTTGGGTCTGGGCTTAGATCTATCTTGAAGTGCTGAGATCGATCATTATTCGATCGATCGAACCTTGAACTTGGATCGATCGAACTTTGCTGCTTCCCACCTTTGGCTTCATTTGCTTTCTTCTTTCTCCACTTTGCTCCTTTCTTTGTTTAATCCCAGAATTGCTTCAATTAAGCTTTTATTTGGCTGAGTTAGCTTATTCTCGGGATAAGTGCTTGAAAATGGAAATAATATAAAATCAATCTAAAATGGTAAAGTAAGATAGATAAAGGTACTAGAATGCCTAAGCTTAAGGGGTTTAAATACGCACTTTTCAGCGCTCATCACACCCCCAAACTTAAATATTGCTAGTCCCTAGCAATGAACTAAAAAGTAAAGGAATGAAATGAACAACTATAAAACTATGAACTAGAAAACAATAAATAGATAATGCCACTTTCGTAGGAAACACGATTGCACTTAGCATATGCAACAAGCCTTTTAAACCCCTAGGTTACCCCTAATGGATAAGTGAAGTCTCGTGAGGGTTTCCAGAAATGGTACCCATAAACATTAAGCTCATTCTTTCAAAAGAAGCACCAATATTGCAAACAAGCATTGGGAGAAAACTACCTCAAGTATGCAATTTTTCAAACATTTCTAAGCAATCTCCCAAAATCTCAATATCAAGCAAGCAAATATGGTCCTCTACACATCAAGAAAATGATCATGCAAATCAAAACAACTCTAGAATCCTTTTGAGTGGACCAGCATCAAATGTGTTACTATCTTAGCCAATTAAAGAA